GCCACATGTTGGAGTTAGTTGTGGTAAACTGTGTTTCCCAAATCCGTGTCCACCCATCTTCTGTAATCTCAATGTCCATTTCTTTTTCCCATTTCTGTTTTATGTAAATTGTTGAGTCCCTTTTGAGTTTAATCATACATTTGTACAGTTTACTTATCAGGGCTTTGCTACTCCTGGAGTCATAAGCGTCAATGAAGACGTTAACAAATCGAGAAGTCTCCAGGGACACAGCTGTTTATTCTTTTGCCAATACAGTCACGGAATTGCAAGTATCGGAAAAAGTCTTGTTTCTCAAGGCCGTAAGTCTTGCATAGGGTATCAAAAGCCATAATTTTAGATTTTACGATAACTGAACACACAGCAGTAATTCCATGCCATACCATTGTCTAAATCTACTGTTGTGGGAGGCAGGTACAAAATCAGGGTCGTACGCTGGCCACCTCAGAAGTTTTATCTCTTCCTGAAGTTGTGCCTGCTTGACCACCCCCCTCCATATTTTTAATGTAAAATTGACCCATTGGCTGGTTGTCATTGTCATGTATTATTTTAATGTTTTTTTCTTACAAGTGCAGCAGTTGATGACCCTTTGTGTTTTTGTTCTTATTGCATCTCTTTTATTTTTGCAGGATTTGTTTTTTTCTTTCCCCTGCTGGTCACCGTTGTCATTGCTGTGTTTCACATGTTTTGAGTAATTACTTGGGCCGTTTCTCCCATTCTTCTTTACAAGCTCCATCAGGTTGGATGGGGAGTGTTGGTGAACAACCCTTTTCTAATCTCTCCAGAGATAATAAATTTAATTCACATCTGCGCTCTGGCTGGGCCACTGAAAGTCCTTTGTTATCTTGTGATTAGGGTCGTTGTCCTGTTGGAACATGAACCTTCTCCCCAGTTCAAGGTCCAGAATGCTCTTGAGTAGGTTATTATCAAGGATGTCTCTGTTCATCTTTCCCTCAACCCTGGCTAGTCATTCGCCACATCATTGTAGGGATGGGCACCACTGTCAATAAGCACCCTCTGTACATCTATGACTGCACACCCAACCAGCTTCATTGTCAAATATGCGTAACATCTCATCTCGCTCATGTCTGCAGTTCCTCTGTGACCTAAGCAGGAATAACCTGGACCAGAGGCTGCTGTCCTTCTATCGCTCCTCAGTGGAGAGCATGCTCTCCCAGGGTGTTTGGTACGCATGGGACTGAGACAGGAAAGCTCCACAGAGGGTAATTAACACTGCCCAAAAAATCATTGTCTGCCGTCAGCAGATCAATCAGACTCACAAACAGCTTCTTTCCCTGGGCCATTCGGACTGCTAACAAACACTAGAATAGAATAGAATAGAATAGAATAGAATAGAATAGAATAGAATAGCCTTTATTGTCATTGTACAAAGTACAACGAAATTGGAGTGCCACTCCCTTGGTGCAAAATGCAAAATAAATATAAATGTAAAATATAAAAAGTACAATAAAACAACCGTAGTACTCAGACAATAATACGTCCGATATATACAGGATAGCAGCATAATATAGTGACAATGGCAAGTATGGTATAGTTAAGCAGGTTCAATAGTTTTGTGCTTATTTACTGCGGTGATAGCTCTGGGAAAGAAGCCTGAATCTGTTTGTCCTGGTTTTATGTGACCTGTACCGTCGGCCTGACGGTAACAGTTCAAACAGTTGATTACTGGGGTGAGAGTAGTCCTTAATGATATTGCC